GCTCTGGGGTCAGGGGAGGATGTGGATCCTTGCGGGGTCTGAGAGGGAATAATCAGCTTATTCTCAATAGAGCTTATCCATCCTCCGGAGATCACAGCAGCATTTACATGTCTGAGACTGCTGCTGCTGACCAGGGCTGGAGCAGGGGGAGGAACCCTAAATCCACCCCTCAGCTGCTCTCTGCTGGGAAAAAAAAGAAATTAAGAATTTAATTTCTTTAAATGGGATAACTGAGTCTGAAATTAAACAGAGGTTAAATGGGATAACCCAGAATTTAACTGGATAACTATAGCTCCAGATAAATGATAATCTGGATAAATCATTTAAATATCTGCCTGGGAGTGAAAAACAAGTTGTTAAGATACACATTGCAGGAATTGTGGCTCTGGTTTTGGAGGAGCAGCCCATCCACAGCCATGGGTTTGTCATAGAACTGCCAGCAAAACCCAGAAACCTTTGCATGGTGCTGATCAATGAGTTCAGCTCCTTCAGATGCTGCATTTCAGGACTATGCAGAGAATCAGAGGTTCCTCAGTGAGACAGATCTTGCTGTCCTGCTTTGGAGAAGTCCTGGGGAAGCGTTGGTACTTGCCCAAATTGGGAATCTGCAAACCCTGCTTGCCTTCACTGTGTTGTGGATCAGAGCACAGAGTGCCAGCCAGATCCATCCCCTCATCCATCCTCCTCTTCTGCATCCTTCAACCTCCTTGCTTGAGGAAAACCAAGTTTATTTGATGTTCCTCCACCTGGATGGGGTTGGGGAGAGATTTAAAGATCCTGGGTGGGTTTTAGCACTTGGATCCTGGATCTTGCAGCACCTGGATAGTGCTGGGCAGAGATTTAAAGGTTCTGGGTGGGTTTTAGCACTTGGATCCTGGATCTTGTAGCACCTGGATGATGCTGGGGAGAGATTTAAAGATCCTGGATGGATCTTTAGCACTTGTATCTTGCACATGGATGGTGTTTGGGATAGATTTAAAGATCCTGGATGGATCTTTAGCACTTGGATCTTGGATCTTGCATATGGATGGGGTTGGGGAGAGATTTAAATATCCTGGGTGGATTTCAGCACTTGGATCTGGATCTTGCAGCACTGCTGAGTATTTTTGTTACCACAGTGTGGTGCCATGACACCACATGTGCATCCCCCAACTAGGCCGCGCTCCTGCACACCAGGAACCCTCCACAGAATCATTCCAAACTCAGCTTTAACACAGAGATTCTCTCCCAATCACCCAAAACGAGTCGTCCGTGATCCAATTTTCCTGATTTGCACTTCTTTTCCCCTCAGG